ACCCCGAAATTCGGAGCCACGACTCTGTGTTTTCTTGCCCCATGCAGGCCTGCCAAGGACAAATTCAACGTGACCTTGTGAACACTGAGTGCTTCCTGCGCGCCAGACACCGCGCTAAACGTATTACAGAGAATATTCCTATTTCACGTTCACAGAACTCTGAGTCACGTCCTAGCACTACCACCCTCGCTTTGCGGACGCCCAGAGAGATTAAGTAATTTGTTGAAAATGACACCATTGGCAAGTGGTTGAGCCGGGACCTGAGCGCAGGCTTTCCAGCATTGAATGCGCGTGCCTCGCGGAGCGCACAAGCTGCCCTCTGTCCTCGCCACACTTCCCGTGTTTAAAGTGCATCTCACAGCTGAGCACTTCCCCTGGACGGGAAGACGAGCGTCTCCAGGTGACTGTCCACCTTCTGAGAGTAACGCCCTCACGGCCGCAGCCCCAGAAAGCACACGGCCTTTCTCAAATTACCTCTGTCCTCTGCTCTTCACTGGCAGATTGGACAAATTGTCCAAAATTGCCACTTACACTTCCATTTTCTTGCCTTTACTTACTGCAATCGGGTTTCTGCCCCCAAATCCACTAACACCTTTGCTTCAGACGCACCAAGCCACCCAGGTTGTCCCCGAGTCTATCCTTTGTGGCCCCTCCTCCCTGTCCTGTCTTCTCAGCCCCCTTCCGTGGCCATCGGTCCCTGTCCTGTCTTCTCAGCCCCCTTCCGTGGCCATCGGTCCCTGTCCTGTCCTCTCAGCCCCCTTCCGTGGCCATCCATCCCTCTCTCGCTCACCGGGAGGAGACCTTTGCCCCGGCGGCTCTCCCTCCTCACCACCTGCCGTGCGGCGCCCACAGCTCTGACTGCGCCCTCCCAGCCCTCTCCAGAATGTCTCATGTCAGTGGGTCCAAACCAAGCTCCAAAACCTGTTCCCTCCCTCGGGTGGGTCCTGTCGCTGTTAGGGAAAGTCTGTGGCTTGGAGTCATCTCAGTTCTCTCTCCCCACGGCCACATCCGATCCGTTCCTAGTTCCTGTCGGTCCCGTAGGTTCAGCGTCCCTGGAATCCGCGCCCTCCCGTGTCTGGGAATCCGCCAGCTCGGGGGTGTGGGCGTCTCCCTGGCTCTGTGTCCACGCGGCCACTTCCCGCGCTCGCCCGGCCGTCCTCGGAGCCCAGTGCTCAGGGGCTGTGAGTCCCAGTCAGGAACCTGTGGCACTTCTCTCTCTCCCCCTCTCCCGGCCCCCTGCGCCCTCCCGCCACACAGCACCCCTCCACGCGACGTGGGCTCTCCACCTCCTTTCAGCACTTCACATTAAACACATGTATGTGCCCGTCTGTGTCCCAGCACACTGCGAACTGCCTCAGCGCCACTATTACCATGTTGTGAAAAGGTCTTTCTAGCACTTTCCGGCACCCAAACTCACTGAGGCCGGTGAACCTTATTCAAATGCCTTCTCCTGGTGGCCCATTTAGGCAGCTTTTGTCAGCGTGTCATCGCAGACCTGCCAAGCACGTCATAGCGAAGGGGCCGTGCCGGCTGGTGCAGGTCAGCGTCGCTGGGACCAGCAGCGGAGCTGGTGGGGACCGGGGGGAGCAGCGCGGAGTGGGCACCATGGTGGGGCGTGGCGTGGTTTCTCCCTGGGCGCACAGTAGGGAGCAGGCCTGCCCGCGTCGCCGGCAAGGCCGCTGCAGCTGCCGGACACCTTCACTGTGGATATGGGGATAACGGGGAAAGACGGCATTTTCTGGAATCAGGTGATTGATTGTGAGATCGTGCGAAATGTGTACTGAAAGATGTTAGAATAATCTCCATTTAGTGGGAGGAGCACGCACACAAGCTCAGGTGCGCTGTTTCCCACGTCCCATTTCCCATCGAACGCAGTGGAAGAAACACTGTTTTTTGTAGATGAGCACGATGCTGCCAGATCCCACTTATAAAAATGAAAAGATGCCCTCTGTATTTGGAATGAACACATTTAGTATGGAAAAAAGTTTTCTGAAATCTCTCTGCAATACAGCCCAGACAGGGTCTGTCTTTGTAAAGACAATGGGGATGGTCGATTTTGCAGAGTTTTGAGCACTTGTCTGAAGAGCTGGGGGCAGAGGCCTGCTTAGGCACATGTTTTGTTATGCAGATTTGTTTTTTATAGTGATCTAAAGTCACAGAAGAGGTTTTGAGCCCAAGAGTCAGCAAACAGCTCTGGGACAATTTGCAAATGGAAGGAAAAGGATGGAATATCAGGAAACCCGTTACTGTCTGTGTAGGGTTACTTTCTTACGCTGACAGCTCTCCAGAGGTTTCTGGTCTCATCTGAGCATGGATGGTTATCCAATGCGAGCAACCTGTGAAAGGCAGAACTAAAACAGAAATATTTTCATGCTATTTTGGAAAACTGCGTGTGGTTTTCCTTTAAAATTTCCTGTGCTGCCCCCAGGTGCGTCTGGCAAAGCATCTCCCATCTCTGGGACGCGAGCAGGGAGTACCGCTCGAGGGAACGTTCCTGGGGGCTGGAAGGCAGCTCCCCACAGCCTGGGCTTTCCCAGGTGGGTGTTTCAGGGACGAGCGGAGAATCCTTGGATCCAGAGGTCCCGGGGGCTGGCGCCGCGTCATTGCTTGGCGGGCACCGGACCCTGCTCCGGATCTCCACTGGGCCTCCCAGCCTCAGCTCCGGGTCTCCGGTCTCCAGACCAGGATTTATAAGGATTGAGGCCATCTCGGATGCTCTAGTGTAAAATGCTAAACCGTTATAATAATTTTTAAAAGTCTCTATTAAGCCTAGTGAGGCTGAGATATGGATTTCTTTTTTTTAACTATTTAAAAATTGTGTTGTGATAGAGAACTGGACCTTGTGGACTGTCTGGTTCTGTGATCCGGCAGCTGCGATCTCGGGGTGAAAGCGTGAATTCCGGAGCCAGGCAGAGCTCTGCCCGCCTGGCCCAGGCTGATGCTGGTGCCGCCCACTGCGCAGCGCGTCTCTGCAGACGCCTTCATAGGATTGTGGTGGAGGTCAGGTGGGTCAGGGCAACGCAGATTCCTCTGGCATGACGGCGCGGAGCAAGCGTTCACTGTTGTGAGTCTGTGTTAGAAAAAAAACTATTAGCTTTCTGCAGTGGCCACGTTCACCCAGTTTTGGAATAAAGAGAATCGTGGAATGGAAGGTGAGAGTGTGTGCCTGGTGCAGGTGTGAGTGCCACCGGCCCCCGCACCCTCCCGCGGGCCACAGCTGGGGCTCTGAGGCTGTCCCCGCAGCCACCTCCGGGTGCTGGGTAGACACCAAACACCGGGACAGAGAGGACAGGAGCCCTTCTAGTCGGTTTCCTCAGTCTGGGAGGCAACTTTAATCTGAGAATTAAAGTGACGAAATGGTTTTATTCAGAAGGGAAAGCTATTATGCTGGAAGGGAAGTGCTACTTGGTAGAAGCGCAGGGTGCGACACCAGCAATCTCAAGGAAGCACGGAGGGAGAGGAGAGATGCAGAAAGTCTGCATTTCTGCAAAGACAAACTTGAGTCAAGTCCGAGCCTGGGTCAGGCGCGGGGCGTCCACGTGCGGCCACATCAGAGCTCAGGCTTGTTCCCCAGCACGTGTGTGTATGAAACACACACACTCACACATGTGCACACACACGTGTGTGCAAGGGAAGCAAACCTTGCAGGATCACTTGTAGGGCCAGGGACGAGTCCATTTATCAAGGTCGACTTGAACCCCAAACTCCAGGCAGTCTCGAGGAGCTGCCGACATCTGCTCTCCACTGAACCTGCTCCGCTCAGATGGGGACAGCCAGGTGGTCACGTGTGTGTCTGCTCACCTGTGCTGCACCCCCGGCTGGTGCAGGGCAGGTCCCCAAACCTGCTCCGGAGCTGCTGTCCCAACCCGACCACGCCAGGAGCAGCGGGAGTGGGCGAGAGACGTCCCACTCCTACACGCCGAAGTGAGAGGTGGCTTAAAACTGATTTCTGCCGCTTTGCTTTCTCTCTCTCTCGGACTGTGTTATACATTGTCTTTTAAAGCAAAAATTTTTAGCAGAAAGAATGACTTTAAATCTATAATTAATGAGCTTCACTTAATAAGAATTTATAGAGTCCACTTTTTTCTCCGATGTCCCATTTTTTAAGAGAGAAATAAATTACAGAGAAAATTTACACCAATAGTTTACTTTGCAAAGAAAGGACACACTTCAACACCCGACTGTGGAGTCAGGATTGGCCAACTACTGTTTACATACATTTTTATACACGGGCTGTGCAATGTTCTATGTACTTAATATCCCTACAGTTGTCCAAAACAGGAAGGAAGAATGATTAATCATTTCTATCCACATTAGTCTAGTTTTGATTTTTTTAAAAAAATGGATTTTCATTGCATTGTGCAAAGATTATCAATAAAACTTGAAAGGGGTCCAATTAGCTAGAAATTTAGGCTAAGCTAGACTGTCCCTATTCTTAGCATTTTATACAACAGCAAGACAGAGACCAGAGAACACTCATCTCTAAGGGAGTTTGGAAGAAAACGACCAAAGAAACGATTTGGTTTCTCCATCTACTTCTATCTGCCTATGTTGCATAATCTGGACAGCTTTGCATAAGTTAAAACTGAAAGAGAACCTTTTCTTTTTTCTTTTATTTTTCTGAGTGTGTAAAGTTGCCAAAGAGCTGACATGATATTTATGAGGCTCTCAGAGCTTGAGGCTTAAATTCGGGAGCCGCGATCGCCATTACGCGTGTGAGTCACTGGAGCCCTTGGCACTTCGTTAACGTGGAGTGGCCCCGATTTCACTACCTGGCAATAAAGACTCAGGCTTCAAAGGCAATTTTGCAAATAGCCCATTACTTTGATGAAATCCGTATTCGCAAGTGTGAGCCTGAGCAGAGGCACGAGGGGCAGAGTCACCAGCACTGAGCTGGAAGCCGCACAGCAGCCTCTCGGTGTGGGCCGGAGCGATCACTCCCGTCTCTCCCCTCGGTGCGGGTTCACAGAACTCCTTTTCTCGTTTCTCTTTTCCTGTAGCCAGAGCTACCTGCAAGCTGCAAGTGACGTGCCCATCGGTCACAGCCTGGACCCTACTGCCAACTACAACTCCCCGAAATTCCGCTCCCGGAACCAGAGCTACATGAGGGCCGTCAGCACCCTGAGCCAGGCCAGCTGCGTGAGCCAGGTGGGGGTCTCCTCTGTCCCCCCCCAGGGCCCAGGCTGCAGAGCCAGGTGGGGGTCTCCTCTGTCCCTCCCCAGGGCCCAGGCTGCAGAGCCAGGTGGGGGTCCCCTCTGTCCCCTC